TCACAGAAGACAAAAATATACAAAAGCTATTGAGAATACAGTAAAAAAAAGTTACAGTAACATCCAGGAAAAAGAATAGGAAAAAAAATTTGCTTATAAATTCATCCAAAGAACTGGTACAAATATTTAATTTATTTTATATACAACTCACAACAAAATCAAAATGCATAAGAAACAGTCCAATGTGGTGCAGGTTTGGTATGTGTAATTGTGGAAAAGGTTTTATAAAACTAAACAATGATGCACTGGCTGAGATGAGAATGAAAAAGTAGTTAGAGTGTTTCGGTTTCTTATTCTCACATAGAAATAGTGACTTCATAGTGTGAAAAGTGAACAGCTGCTTGTTTGAAAATTCAGATACTTGATATTTGGAGGTTTTTATCAGTAATTCAATTGAATGTGCTGTTTTGAAAATTCAGATACTTGATATTTGGAGGTTTTTACTGTAATTCAAATGAATGTGCTGTCAACTCAACAGTTCAATAAATGGATGTCAAATTATTTTTGTAAGTTCCTATATTTAGAAACACTTATGTACATGATAACGTTTCTATGGAAAGAGGTAATGAACAAAAGTGGAAGCAAAGGAAGCTCTTTGTACAGAATAGAAATACACTGCATAGAACAAAGAAAATAAAAAAAATTTAGTATATTTACCATGTATCAAATGGGATTTTTTTTACCAGATCCATTCAGAACTTGAGATAAATGCATAGCTATTTTAGGTAGTCTAACTTGGCAGTTTCAACATGGCAACTGGTGTTCCATAAGCTACACTGAACCATCCCCTGGTAACCACTGTTTTCAGAGGCTGTATCTTGATGCATGCAGTGAATGACACACTATGTTATTACAATTTCCTTTTTTGAAAATGAAACAAATGTTAGACCATATGAAGTTTTCATCTTATTAAAGACCATGACATGCAAATATCAGGTACACTGTACCAAGACCTTCACCAACATACCATGTAACCACACAACGGAAGTGGAATAATGTTCATAATATGATAATAAATAATGTGCAAAATAATTTTGCATCTTCCATAAATGTTAAATTCAAATACTTAATACATATATTTTTATTCTAGTTTCCCCAAAAGACAGTTATATGTCACTGAAGCTAAAGAAAACTGTAAAAAAAATATAGATGTAAATTTTCTTACAGTAATTGATAAACAATTAAAGTCAAGGTATGTAGGGGATGATCTGGCAACACTTCAGTCTTGGGAAGGAGGTGGGACACTGACATAACGTGTATTGTAGGAGTATAAAATAACATCATTAAATTTGTACAATATGTACAATCCTTGTAAATGTATTAGGACATGAAGTAAAGTTTCATTAATATATACATTACCAGTTACATAATATATTAAGCACTAAAAATACATATAGATTGTTCAATGTTGAGAGCTTTAGATAACAAGACTGTGGCTTTTTGGTACACAAAAGATAAGCTACAACCATGTACCAACATAATATTATAAGAACATGGGTAAAATTACAAAGATTGTTTTTGCAAAATCCTGATAAACTAACCATCAGATTAAAAAAAACGTCTCATGATGATCAGCACGAACCTGCATTACACCTCCATAATACCAACTTTAGCTTAATCAACAAAGTCACAAGTTGAAAACGACACATTGCATCTATATTACTAATCAGTAATTGTGCATAGACCTCCCGCACACAATCAGATCACAATAATCTGGATAATGTGGCAAAACCCTACAGTACTGACCATGCCACAAAATAGCTGCCACTCATTGCTGGGCTCTGTTCGGGAGGATGTGAGTTAATACTAAGCTTTAAGTAATACAGAAACAATCTTCTTCAACCAATCTTTACCTTCATGAACACAAATGAGTAGGAGATTCTGCTTCAAAACCTTGTTAATGCCACTTGTTTTACGACTTCTTTACACAGTCAAGAACAGATTTTGGTGTATTTCCCAAATATTACATTCTTCTGTAATATATGTGTTTTGGTGAAAGATCACTCACCATCACCTTAAAGATGTTCTACATCAGGCCACTAAGAAGCCCACAAAGGACTTTATATAGAATTAAATTTTCTAATAAATATTTAACCTCTATTCTTGTAAATACTCCTAGATAAAATTATATTACTTCTAGTATTGTATATTCATCACACTTACTTCATAAACATTCCAGGTGACAAACAAATGACTGTAACTATAAATTCAAGAAACATAATTAACAGTCCTATTATACAATTCCTTAAAATCTCACGATTTTGAGTTCTTTTCCTCCTTCTTGGTCTTTTTATCCTCATCTCCTTCTTCTTCTTCCTCTTCTTTAACTTCTTCCTCTTCTTCCTCCTCTTCTTGTTTAAAAAACTTATCATATATACTAAGTGTAGTTTCAACCCAGTCAGCTTTACTTGCCTCTTCAACAATACTGAACACAAACTGGAGGCATCTGGAAGGAAAAGGGGATGTGAAACCATACAGTTCAAGAATCTTGTCAATCTAAACCATACACTTACTATGAATTTCTGTTATTGATATAAACAATATCTACATACTCTGTAAAATAAATCAATCAGAGCTTTAAAAAAGTATATAATATCCAAGAAAGAATTAAAGATATATTAACAAAAAAATTTCTATGAACATACCCAAATCTGAGGTGTGAACCATGATGTAAAACAGCTCCACCTTCCCACCCAACACTGCTTGGGGAGGGTATTCCTCTTGTGCTTGTTTTTGCTTTCCCCAACTTGCAGCCTCCCACCTTCCCACCC